CCGAGCATAGGGAACAAGTTTTCTTGGTTAGGGGATAGGAATAACATGTGGATTCAATGTCGCTTGGATAGGGCACTTGGTAATGAGGCTGGGTTTCATTTATTCCCGAGAGCTCAAGCAGAATATTTGGACCGCATTGGCTCCGATCACAGACCCTTATTTGTACGGTTTGCCAGTGAAAATATGTCTAGAAGAGGACGTTTTATGTTTGATAAACGGTGGATAAACAAACCTGAATTCTCAGAGATTATAAAAGCGGGATGGTATCAAGATGATGCGATAGGCCATAGAACTCTTATGCATCGTCTTTCCAACAGTCGTAAGTCAATTTCTCGATGGAAACGTGTGTCTAATCAGAACTCAAAGAAAAGAATTGAGCATCTGCGACAACGCTTGGAAGAAGAAGGCATTAAGATGCTACCAAGTCGAGGACTCATGCAAATGTTGAAATGGGAATTAGCGGAGGCATACCGAGAGGAAGAGCTGTACTGGAAACAAAAGAGCAGAGAACGATGGTTAAAGGAAGGTGATAGGAATACCAAGTTTTTCCATGGTAGTGTTCAGCGTCGAAGAGTGCAAAACAGAATCCTATCTCTGTTTGATGCTAATAATGTCGAACAATTCTCTGAAGGCTCTAAAGGGGATATTGCAGTTGAGTATTTTCGTAAAATGTTTACTAGCTCAAAACCAGATTCTATTTTCGAGGCACTAGAAGGTATGCTACCGAGAGTCACAGCAGAGATGAACTCCAAGCTTACACAACCAATCACCGGTGAGGAAATTAAAAGGGCAGCTTTCAGCATTAGAGGGGAGAGTACACCAGGTGCGGACGGGATGTCGGGTTATTTTTTTCAAGCTTATTGGGATATTGTCGGGCCACAAGTTGTTGAGGAGGTCACACAATTTTTTCAATCTGGTTCACTTCCTACGGAGTGGAATTTTACTCAGATTTGTTTACTCCCGAAGAAGCCAAATCCGTCTAAGATGACAGATCTCCGCCCTATTAGTTTGTGCTCGGTCATATACAAAATAATTTCCAAGATTCTTTGTGCTAGATTGAAGGTTTTTCTGCCCACAATTGTCTCGGACACACAAGGTGCCTTTGTGTCCGGAAGACTTATCTCGGACAACATTCTTTTAGCTCATGAAATGGTGCATGCTTTGCAGACAAACTCAAATTGCGATGAGGATTTTATTGCAATAAAAACGGACATGTCCAAGCTTATGATCGGGTTGAATGGAATTTTTTGGAAGAGTTGCTTATTCGTCTCGGCTTTGATATGCGATGGGTGCAATGGGTAATGAGTTGTGTACGCACAGTTAGTTACTCTGTTATTGTCAATGGAGCTTCATATGGATATATCAAACCAGAGAGAGGGATTCGCCAAGGTGATCCGCTGTCTCCATTTCTCTTCATACTATGTGCGAAAGCTTTAGTTCACATTATGAATAAAGCAGAGATAGAAGGACGTTTAACCGGTTTGCGTCTCACTCAAGAGTGTCCATCCATACAACATCTTCTTTTTGCTGACGATAGTCTTTTCTTATGTCGTGCTACTTTTAAGGAATGCAATGAATTCCTTAAATGTTTACGATTATATGGGCAAGCATCGGGACAAGAAATTAATTTTCAAAAGTCAGCAATCACTTTCGGTAAGAAGTTAGACCCATATATGAAGCGTCTTATCGGATTATACAAGGAATCGAGCAAGAAGGAGGATCCGGTAAATACTTAGGCCTACCAGAATGTCTTAGTGGTTCGAAAAGAGACCTCCTTGGGTTCATTACAGATCGATTGAAGTCTCGGCTAAGCGGATGGTATGAAAAAACTCTCTCTTTAGGTTGAAAGGAGGTTCTCATCAAATCAGTGGCTTTGGCTTTACCGGTTTATGCGATGTCTTGTTTTCGTTTGACAAAACACCAATGTCAAAAGATAACAAGTGCCATGTCTCAGTTTTGGTGGAATGAGAGTGAGAACAAGAATAAGATGCATTGGGTGTCTTGGGAAAAGATTTGCAAGTCAAAGACACAAGGTGGTCTAGGTTTTAGAGACATAGGTCGGTTTAATCAAGCTTTACTCGCTAAGCAAGCATGGCGTCTGGTTGATGTTCCGCACTCACTGTTAGCTAGAGTATATAAAGCTAGATACTATGCCCGAAAATCATTTCTTGAAGCCACAACAGGTTACAGACCTTCTTACGCTTGGCGCAACATAGTTTTTGGGAAGGAGCTTTTGGAGAGAGGCCTTATGAAAACAATTGGAAATGGACAGAATACTCATGTTTGGATTGACAACTGGCTCTTTGATGGTCATCCAAGAAGGCCAAGCAGTAAATCTTCTTTAATGGATATAAGTCTTAAGGTCTCAGCGCTCATAACACCTCAAGGAGAATGGGATGCGGCTCTTTTGAATGAACTTTTTTCAGGTCCGGATGTCACACATATTCATTCTTTTCCACCTGCTCCAATGCTTTCCGATAGATACGTCTGGGCTTACACAAAGGAAGGACTATACACTGTCAAAAGTGGGAACTGGCTTCTCAACAAGGAAGCTACAGCCTTGGAAGTGGTTTCAGACACGGAGAAGACCACCAACAAAATTAAAGACAAGGTGTGGAAGTTGCAGGCAGCCCCGAAAATTAAAATGTTTTTTTGGAGAGCGTTATCGGGTGCTCTTGCTGTAGCAGAATGTTTAAGGAGGCGTGGTTTAGATACAAATCCCTTATGCCAACTGTGTCGTGTGCGTGAAGAAACGATATCACATGTTCTGTTTGAATGTCATATGGCAGTAGCAGTTTGGCAACTTTCTGGCCTTCCTTTACCAGCTCAAGGTTTTTCTTGTTCCGTTTCAGAGAATATCAGCTACATTTTACTCTTAATGGAGCGAGCAGAATTACCTTCAGCAACAAGATTGGCAATTCCGTGGTTTCTTTGGGAAATTTGGAAAGCTCGAAACTCGACTAATTATGCGGGTAAAACCAATGATCCTAACTTTGTTTTTGTAACAGCCTTAGAAGCAGCGGAAGAATGGTTAACTCAACAAACCATCATTGCTCAAGAACATCAATCAACTCTAAGAAGAAGTATACGGCCAGCTACACGATGGACAAAACCAGCACAGGGACAACTGAAATGTAACCTTCATGCTTGTTGGAAAAAGGAGACGATGCATTGGGGTGGGGCTTGGCTAGTTCGTGACCACAATGGCGAGGTTCTTTTACACTCACGCGAAGCCTTTATTCCCACGGTTAACCGCATAGCGGCTGAGCTTAAGTGTATTCTATGGTGTCTTCAAAGTTTACATAATGTGCATATCGATTCATGCGAGATCTGGTCTGATTGTGTTGCTGCATTGTGGGCGCTTGATCAGGCTGAAGCTTGGCCTAAATATAGCTCCTTTCTCAATCAAATTGCACAAGTTATACGGGTGATGCGGGATGTGAGTTTTAAAATCTCTTCACCGAAGGCCAATTCATTGGCTAAGGATATAGCTTGCAGCGTTATACGAGATGGGAGGTATAATTCTTATATAGCACGAGGAGGACCGGCGTGGTTACATGATCGGATAGAGGAGGAGCGACGACGGAGCTGTTAGGTTATTACTCTCTCAGGTCTCAGGTCTATGATTTTTGCTTACTCTGTTTTTGTAAGCTTGTTTTTTACTCTGTTTCCTTGTTATTTGAACTTCTTCAGTTTAATCAAAGACGTTAAAAAAAAAAAAGATTGAATGAGAAAAAAGATTTGAGGCAACTGACTTTAATTGGACCTAACGAACAGCAAATCACCATGCAGACTTTCTAGCTAAGAAGCAAATATATGAATTATCATAACTTTGTCAATATATTTGATGCTATGTTCACTAAATATATTGGTATATTACTTTAATGTAGATAAATTTTGAGTTTAAAAAAATAATTAAATAAATAAAAATCAATATATGTATATCTAGTGCGGAATTCAATGGACCACTAGATAATTGATGGTTAGAAAAAAATTTGTGGTCCATTGGTTAAAACGTTGATTTGTAAAACGCAACAGTTTTTTGTTTTTCTTTTTCAAAAAAACACAAATTGCAAAGAAATTGCATGATTGGGGACACAAAAGCGTTTTCTAAAAACCACAGTTGGAATCCGCACTTTTCTTTGTCACCATTCAAGGCCTAACTTTATTGGTGGAGTCTCATTCTTTGGTATTATTTCAACTAACATTATTAATAGAGTCTCATTTTTTGGTACTATTAAATTATTGACGGTGAAATCCGGTGTCCGTACTGTGAAATCAAATTCATACGAGTGGGAGTAAATCAAATTCACAAGTCATTTTACAAGTAACTGCAACTCTCTTCATTTGATATTTGTCATAAGTCCCAATTCTTTCACTTTTACTATCAAAACTCCACAGAACAAAAAGAAATCGATAGAAAAAGAAAAACAAAAAAACATTCTGCTTCAGAACTGCTCTACACTTTTCCCCACGATCTCACATCCTCCACTTTCCCTCCAATTACAACAATGGAACAACATTATTTCCTACAAAAAGACTCCACATCTCTTACTTTTTCTGATTCCGGTTTCTGCAACATCAATCGGAAAATAAACTGCTTATTTTGTTGATCATTCATCGCGTCTAAGTATTTTACGAAATTGGCTTTGTTATTTTCTTTATGGGTTCCATTAGATCATGGCTTTTCGTGATTTTATTGTTGCTTTGGCTTTGATTCTTGAGTTACAACCTTTTGTGTCAGTTGTCATTTCATGTCTCTGATTTTAAGGTCTATCATCGATTGATAGAAGGTATAACCTTTTTCTTGCTCATTCTATTTTCTCATATTTAATGCCCATTGATTATCAAAATCACTTCTCATGATTTTAATCAACTTCTATATCTGGATCTCTTATTAGATTCAGGATTCTATTTATTAATTCATCTTGAGAGAACCCATTCTCTTGAACTGTACGGCAATGGGAGATGAGACACCTTCTCGGCTACTTTGTTCTTCATGTAAGTTGAGGAATGAATAAGAAGCATGGAGATTACCTAAATTACAATTTGTGCCAGTGGAAGCTTCTCAGGTAGAACCAGCACGACAAGACAACCAAAAACCTCAAAGGTAAGGATATATCGTAAACAATTTTGTTTTTCTCCTAATATTTTCAGTTCTACAGTTTACTATTTTATCCACAAACTTCAGCAATGACGATTAGGTGATCTAATCGATTATGTAACATTTTCCACTGTCTTTATTCTTCAGCTATCTCAATGTTTCCCAACAAATCCACGAAGATCTACTGGCATAATAAAGACCAGAAAGAAGAACCAATAATAAAGACTACGAAGATCTACTATAAAAAGTTTTTCCTTAACCGAGAAGAGAACTTAGTAGAACTAGTAATATCCTTTTTATGTGCTTCGAGTAGATAATCTTAGTAAAGATATCAGATATTAGATGGCATTCTGGATTCTGTAGCCAGTGAGATATGAAAAGAAGCCTGTCATAAATAAATGTGTTTTTTCTCTAAGTCTTAATGCCATTGTTCTCAAAAGATATTCAGATATTAATATATTGTTTTAGCAAATTTGATTCAATTATTTTTATAAGGCTAGATTTTCTGTATTAAACAATTTGTTAGTTTTTTAGCCATGAGCATAGTTACAACATGGATTACTCATGGGAGATGCAATCTCAAGTTCTCAACTATGTACTAGAGTCACTTGCATTCTCAAAATGGTTAATCCAGTTATAGAAACCGAGGTCAAATATCTTTTATATTAAAGCCCATGTTTCTTCTGGTATGCCACGTCAGTTTCTGGTATGTGCGTTTTTTTCCAATTTTTTCAAATTATTATAGAGATATGGAGAGAGATTAGAAACTATGATTTTAGAGATAGATGTGTGTTGTAACATCCTCTGCATGCGTCTATCACTATAAAGGTCTCAAATGAATCAAAAGGCTCCACTAATAATTTTGTACTTATTTGTTGGTGTGTCATAACTGTGAATTTAATTAAAAATATATATATAATAATAATAATTTAAAAGTTTAGATAGATGAGAGGTATTCTTTGGTATTATTTCTACTAAAATTAATGATGGAATCTGATTCTTTGGTACTATTTCTATTACTTATAATTTTATTTTTAGTATTTTTCTAAAAATCTAAGGATACGGTGAAAACTAAAATCCCGTGTACTTAAGGTGAAGTCATATTTCAGAAAGCTCCAAAAATCTATGTGGTAACCATCCAATAATAGTGGACTTTAAACCAAAGTTGCAAACAGTTAAGCATTATTGACTAATACAAGCGAAACACGTGAAATCTACTTTATGATATAAGTTTTGGACTTCAAAGCTTTTCCATGCATCTTCGGATCATGTCAATCAAGAGAAAACTAGAGTATCATATTTAGGCATTCATGTTTGGCTTTTGGCAAAATCACTTATATCTGATGATCAAAACGATCTTTGAGTGATTGTCATAGATCAACAAGATCTATTTTTCGTGTTTGTATTCATTTCTCTAATCGAATGAACTATAGAGATTTGTTTTCTTCTCCTCCTTTATTTTCTTCTTATCAAACTTCACATGTCTCTTCATCTTCTGTTGGATTTTATAATTCACATATGACTTATCATATGATGACAAGAAATTTTGATTCCGTTTCTCGTTCTGATTATTTTTCTACTGAAAGTAATTTTCATTTTACTAAAGATTCTTTCACTAAAACCATCACAAATAGGTATACTGCTATAGTTTCTACCAATACATGTAACACTGTCCAATATGATATTGAACATGTCAAGCGTGTCACGGACTCTGCCAACATTTCGAACCTCCTAATTTTTTTGATAATCAGTGCGAGATTTTAAAGCCTACACCTCTTAATGTCGCGAGATTCTGTTGATAGTTATGGTTTCCTTGTCATCAAAGCACAACCATGTTTTCCAAGATGGTGGATCTGTGAATAAAATCCCGAACCAACCAATCTTTTTGAAAAAGGTACTTATTATATTGATTCTGAAGAAGATTAGAAAAATGATGAAGATCAATATGATGATCGTACACATAGTCTACTATATGAGAAATACGGTCCATATACATGTCTAAGTATAACGGTCTGTTTATTACTCTCAAAAATTTGATGCCTATATGTTATCTCATTACAACAGCGAGAAGCTAAAGAAGGAGAACAAAGACTTCGTGTAAGAAATAAGAAAAGATAACGTAATTATATGGCAAAATTTCTAAAGATCAAAACAAAAAGTGGGATCTGTAGCGGTAGAATAAGTGACGATGAAACTTTTCAACATCTTGGAATCATGAAATTAAAAAGAGCTTCTTTGTGATTTTATTTCTCTATTATCACTTTTTCAACTTATTTTATTTAAATAAATAATGCAAATTGTCTTCTATTTCTAG